TAAAAATTACAGTCATCTACAAGCTTTGCAAGTGGGAAAACCTGAAAAATCAACAGTGTGTCAAATACTTGTTCTCCCCACTGTATCTGAAACTGAACTATACTATATGTGGCCCAGACAGGGCTCAAATCTGTTGCTATGTGGAGTGTAGAGGGCGGTTTACTGGTGAACAAACCGATCATTTAACTTTAGGATTTGATACTTTAGAGTAAATGTAAAACTCTAAAGTTATATCAGATTTTTATAAAGTACTGATGTGCACTCTTTCAGACCTTAGGTTCTACCAGCAGGTCAAGCTGGTGAACTTTATTCGTCGGCAGATCCACCAGAGTCGTTGCTATGGCTGCCAGAAGAAGTTTGACTGTAGAGTGGACGTGCTGCAGCACATTGTGTCTGAAGGACATGTGATGAAACTGCCAGAGATGTCCATCTGGGACCAGCCACAGTAAGTTCAACACAAAGGTTTTTCTCTTATTCACGCACACTTTATAATATTGCTGGATTTTTTTAGGGCAGTGTGAAATGTCAACATTTTCAGAAATGAGCGTGAATGAGAGTGTGTGCGCTGGGGAAAGATGGGGATGGGCGTGAGCAGCATGTTCATGTCTGAGAGACACACCTCTGGGCTTTGATTGGCTCATGTTCCTCAGACCGAGGAATTTAAAATAACTGGCTGTAGGACCACCAGGAGGACTTTGGTTTTTTCAGAGATTATTTGTCTAATATCAGTCTGTCAGGACATAGTGACAGTTTTAACAAATATGCAAAAACTATATTTAAAAAAAGTTACATACTGCAGCTTTAACACTGTGGTCAGTTTAACGAGCTGCTGACCTGCATCGGTGTTAGTATCTCCAGCCAGAACACCAACTGCAGTCGATTTCAGCTAAAGAGCTCCTGTCTGTCTGTTTTAGCTTAGTGGGCAACATTCAGGAAACTGTCACATGGAAAAGTTTCTCTCTGATTGCTTGACGCGACACGTCAAGCAGCTAAAGTTCAGATTTTTGAACTCGAGCGTCGACTGCTCTGGATGCACCGCATGCACGTCAACGCACAAACAGTACCTACTGCTTCATGATGCACCGTGCTAAATGGGCTAAACGCACCGCCAGGCCCCTAGACGCACGTCCACCATAGACTTTGAATGTAAACTGGCTGCTCAAAAGGCATTCAGTGTGAACCCAGAGTTAGCCTCGCTACTAAGATAAGAGATAAGATAAAACTTTATTGATCCCACAGTGGGGAAATTTGCACATTTCTGCAGCTCAATACAGGACAGTGTGAGGTAAAATAAAAAGAGAGAAATAAAAGGAAAGAGAAAAACACAATATACACATAATATATAACAATGCACATAAAAGATAAGATAAAACTTCTACTATGTTTTCCTAATTACTACACTTTTTTATTTTAATGTCTATACAGACATACCTGACATGTTTCAACATGTACTTCTGTCTTCATCAGAGGGGTCACAGCTGATGATGATAGGAGGCGGTGTCAGCTCATCAATATATATTGACA